AAAATGAAATTCTAAATGAAAAACTTACTCTCTTCCTGCCCACTCTATCAGCGAGCCAGCCGAATAGTAATTGTCCAACAAAGGTGCCAACAGCGGCCGAAATCTTCAATCCCAAGTCAATAGTAGGCGGGGGCGCATTCGAACCCCAATAAACATATCCCAACATGGTAGACGCCAAATTGATTGCGAACAAATCATATGCATCGGTGAAGAACCCGATACCAGCGACTAAACAGGCGCGAATATGGAACCAACCGAATTTCGCATTGTCAATTTTAGCTAACGCCTCTAAACGTTTTTGATCATAGTCTTCATTGTTCTTCCGTTCCACCCTAATCTCGTTGTTAACAACACCTTTCTCCATTCTATTCTAATTGTATGGAGGATAAATTTTTTGTAGATGATTTTATATATATAAAGAGAGGTAATAATTTTATCTTTATGGTTTATTTATTCGTAATATTATGGTTTAAATGTTAATGACCGTGTCTGTTCCGAAATTTATCAATGTATCTCTCGAGGACACAGTAAAGAAAAAAAAGTAGTTAAACTGACACGCTCTTTTATCAAGAATCTGAGAACACGAACCTTTAAATAGATAACAAAATATATAAGAGGTACTAATAAATAAAGTTAAAATTGGTCGTGTATACAGTTTACAAAATAATTGGTTAGGTTAGGTTTAAAAGTAATCGGTTATAATCGGTTATTCGGTCATAACATTAAAATATAGAAACAACGTGGTAGAAATAATGGTATTCGTTGAGTTAACGAAGTTACGCATCAATGACAGATAAATATTTGTACCGCCAATTCCACACAGATCACGAGACCCGGAAAATTCCGGTCTTATTTCGTTTTCCATTATGTAAATATGTAAAATTTTAAAATTTAAAATTTACAAAATTGGTAATTTGAAACATTGAGTAATAAAGAATGACACATGTTGGTATTCAAGTGAACACGTTTCTAAAGAATTTCTTTATTCTAACATAACAAAGAACTTGTATAACATTTTCATGTAAACACAGATTTTCGACCAATTGTGAGGTAGATAATAAACACGATAATTTTTCAATTGTAATTTAAGTATCACATCAAAATGTTATATTATTTTATTGGAATTCTAAAAATTGGTTGAACAAATTTTCTGAAAATATCATTTTACAATATTTCTGATCGCGTGGGCTCATATGAGATGCACAAATAAAATAATACTGCATTTAATCGTGAAAACATTGATTCAAATCTTTTGCTACTTTCATCATCTCACCAATCGGGTCGTCAACAAAGAAAAGTTAATTGAGTGGATCGAACAATACACTTTTCCACAAAACATTTTTTACGCCATACTCACTCAAAAAGAAAATATACTTATATAATATCCTTTTGTTTTATCCAATAATCTCTGAAAATTTTTACACGTGTTGCATTTCGTTACTCTCCATAAATATCCCATGTGACTCAATTACCAAAATGATATCAAAACGTGTTTTTTGGGGGGTACAAAAAATTTGAGTTTAAATAAACTTTACATGCATCGTTTGTCCTTCCTGAAGGAGAATTAGAAGATTACATATGTTGGGCTGATTTTTTCACGACATTAATAAAAATAACCACAACATACTATTTTTTTGTATCACAATTGAAGGATGATACTACAACCAACCAAAATATTTACATTTGACACGTTCACAACATTTATTGGTAAAAATGATATAAGTTTAGTTACATTAATGAAAGTTCTTTTTGGTATTAGATTTTTGGCTGAATTTGTCGTAAATGCTTACAAAGACTAATTATTATTATTCAGCCTTATCTCTCCATGAGGTATAATTATTTAACAAGGTCACAAATTTTTTTCGGAAACTAATTTCGGTCATCTCTACCAGTGGTGAAGTAAAAAGGGTCGATTTAAAGATATGAGCATCCATCCTCGTTGTCGAGCCCCTGAATTTATGTATTATGTATGACAACTGTCGAGTTTTTAAACTTGACAGTTTATCCTTTTACAGTTAAACCGTTATCCAACTTGATTTCCCAAGAGAGGTGAAATTGTGGAGAAAAATTTCTAAATTAATGTTGTGTTTTGAATGATTACAATCTTACCTTGGAAGTTTGTTCCATGATAATCGACTGTAAATCATCTTTATACATCCTAACCTGTATATAGGAATTAAGATTAGTAAAAAATTTATATATAAAATATATATACATATACATGTATATTTTTGGATCTTTCATAATTCACGTTGATATATTTCAATCATTTTTTTCTTGTACTAAAGAAAAAAATTTAGCCGGATTATAATTCAATGTCGTTTATAAATCCGCTTTGAAATTCAGAAATCGTGTATTTGAATATCTAATTAAAAATCTTTCGATTCAATCTTTTATTGATCAGAGAAGATAATCTAAAGAATTTCAATGAATCGTTGGAATTTAATGTATAGGATCTTGTATTATTAAATTTTTGCTATATAGCATAATTTAACCTTGTATTTTAAATGAACAAAAAATAAATAGAGATAAATGCCTCAATTATTTCCGGTTCTATATTGAGGATAAAATGTATTTCTGTAAAAAATGTAATGATCGATCGATTAATAATGTGATAAGTCAACCTTTTCGAGATTGCATTCTAACGGGGTTCTACTTACCTAATAAAAATAACACGAATGATAGACGTTAAATTACCAGAATTATATATCTCTCTATAGAATAGAGTTAATAAATTTTATAATGATGAGAATGGAATAAATTACTAAACTAATAGATTATGATGTGGAAAATAAGGTCGTTGATTGATCCTCAGTCGATGGAAATGGCTCTACTTTAGATTCATTCGATTTTTGTTCCGAAATGAGAAAAGTTACAAAAATAGCACATATTCCCATTCCAAATATTGCCACTACAATAGAAAAAAAAATTAAACGTTTATGCATTTTTGAAAACTAACTATCAATCAATCAATCAATCAGTAAGATTATTGATGCATACTCATCCCTCGTCTAGTCGTATCCCATTTTACAGCCTCGATATCAGTTCTTATATCACCTAACGCGATGGTATACTTATTATTCAACTCTTCAATTTTTATCTCTAACTTTTTCTGATCTGCTCGAGTTTCGGCTTTACGCGTATTAACATCCATCTGTATCTCGTGTTTTAATGCGGTGGTGTCTTCTTTCATTTTCGAATTCAGTACGTCAAGTTCTCGTTGAATACTTGCTGTTTCTAGACGTAATGCTGACCAATCGTTTTTATGTAGAATTTGAATTTCTGTACGTAGCTCTGAAAGTGCAGCCTTAAATAAATATCGTCCCTGTAATTGATCACAGATTCATATTTTTAATTATCCAGTTAATTAAGCAAAAAAGGATTCGAAATTGGAGGATTGTGCTTTTTACATTTTGAAAAGTTGATCAAAGTGCTTACATTTTCCAAATCTGATTTTGAGAGCATTTGACTTTGTATTAACGCAGAGCTAGAGAAAATGAGATATTAGCTATGATCAATAAAGCGCATATCTATCAGAAACAGAGCAACGTAGTTACCTATCAAGTAACATTGCCTGTAAACATTTCATTATGGCAACCGCTTGTCCCCGAGCGAATCCACGAAGCTCCAGTTCTTTCACCAGGTTATATGTGTGAAAACTGTGGTTTGTGTGAAGAAGTCGGCATGAGGTTTTCCTTGTGAAAACATGAGGCGCTGGGAATAAGGATTTTAACATGCAAGGCATCATTGACTAATTTTGCATCTATTGATCACTTGATTGAAATATTTTGATTAACTGAAGATAATCTATCAACATTTTTTTTTATTAAAATGGTATTTATTAAGTAAATTATTTAGCCACTTGTATGATTTCTGAGTGTACCTTTAACCGTTCTAGATTAGGAGACAAACACGACTTCGCCGCGAATACTTATATCGCAAGTCTTTGGAGACCAAAGACAAACAGATTTTTGAGCGAAAGCAAAAGATTAAAGAGGCCATCCGAGGTAATTTCTTATTCACTGTTTAGAAATAGAGTTTAATGTTAACAAATCATTATTACTTTGGAGTATAGAAGGAAAGCCAATACCTACCGAATTACGAAAGGAGGCCACCGAACTGCAAAAAGAACTACATTATGATGAGGCCCAAACAGGCATGCATCATTTATCCATGAATAAAAAATATGATTGATTCGACCTACGTTATAAGATCCTTTTTTTTTTACTTATAATAGAACCCACAACACATATCGATGATGAATACGCGCGGGCTGGCGTCCACGATCCAAAAGTTTTGATTACGACCTCTCGTGATCCGAGTAGCCGGCTCCAACAATTTGCAAAGGTAGCGAAATAATACATCAACAATGAATGTTAGCAACTATATTCTCAAATGAATCATAAATTTTTTTTTATTGTCAAATGTGAACACGAATTGAATTGGCGATTCAAGGAAATGCGATTAATTTTTCCAAATTCACAACGTATCAATCGTGGTAACTATGTGATTAAAGAAATTGTGGACGCGTGTAGAGCTAACGATGTCACCGATTTAATAATATTGCACGAGCATCGTGGTGAACCTGGTATATCAATCTTTTAATTTTTAGTATATTTTCTTTCATCTAATCGATCACGATAATATTGATTGATTATATGTATAATTTTTTTTAAGATGGTTTAATAGTGTCTCATCTTCCTTATGGTCCGACAGCTTTCTTCTCATTACATAATGTTGTTTTAAGACATGATATAAAAGATGAAGCCACAGTATCAGAAGCGTATCCTCACTTAATATTCCATAATCTTAATTCTAAACTTGGTCATCGGGTGAATAACTTTGATTTCATTAGTTTATTTTGATATACATACAAAACATTAAAAATAATGACGAAAATATATACATAGGTGATGAACATTCTAAAATATTTATTTCCGGTCCCAAGAGAGGATAGTAAACGAGTGATGACTTTTGCGAATGATAACGACTATATCTCTTTTCGGTATGGATTTTCCTGATGTTTATGATTCTCTTGTGTCTCGACATTTACAATGTTTTTTGTTTATTTCTATAGACATCATGTTTATATAAAGACGAGTCATAAAGACGTGCAATTAGCGGAGGTGGGACCGAGATTTGAAATGCGAGGTAAATTGCTTTTTTGTGTTTTTATTGATTTTTACTATTGAGCATAAATTAATTGTAACCTTTACCAAAAGTTTACGAAATCAAATTGGGTACTGTTGATCTTAAGGATGCAGACACAGAATGGGTATTACGACCATATCAGCGAACTGCAAAGAAACGAGACCAATTATAATAAATTGTTTGTTTTTGATTCACTATCCGGATATTATAATTTATTCAATAGATGATTCAAAAGTATGTCAATCCAAGAGTGCAAGGAAATCAGCAATATTGATTTCTTACAATTTATCACTGATCCATTCACCTTGCTACAGGTGTTGGTTCAAGCTTTCCATTATTATCGTAACGTGCCTAAAAAAAATGTGAATTAGCTTGGCCAAGTTTAGAGGAATGCCATAATTTAAAAAATCACCTTAAAAAACGTGTATGATAAAGTAACTGTGTCCACATCTCTCATTAACGGATCATTAGCAAATTCCGGGTCCAAAAAGAAGAACACCGGCATATCGACTTGTTCCCCAGCTCGCAATTTCTGTTCCTCAAAACAAAAACATTGTATCTTGTTAAAGTATTGTCCGACTTGCATAGGTGTGACATTATACGTGGCTATTCCGATAATATCTTGATCCGAAAGATTTTTTGCCGTATAAAATGCTAGTGCTGTCTCGCCAGGCAGCACCCGAACTTCACGTTGTTGCGGAATGAATTGCCATTGTAATGCGACCGAAGTGTCTGCATTAAATGTTACTTTTATCCGACGTGAATTTTCTGCGGGTATAAGTCGGTCAGCGCTGAATCTGGAGGTGTCGCTGGTGTTTGGTGTACCACTGAAACCGGTGGCTTGACAAAACATACGATATAGAGGGACTGAGGCGTATGTGAAGCCTACCACGGATACTAGTATGGCTGTGGCGTACATTAACGTTGAACGGTTTTTCGCTTGATATCTGTTTCGATAGGAACCATAACCGTCATTTCTCCAAACATTTTTAGCATTAGTAACAAAAAACCGGTTCCTAACAAAAAAGCTGTTCCTAAGAAAAATTTTCATGGGAACGATCATAGGGCCAGCTTCTGAGCTGATTAATTATATGATTTTCACATTCTATTTATTACTCTGGTGCTACAGTGCTGTCAATTTGTCAATTTCAAAACGCATCATCGTGTAAAAAAATAATAAAAAAAAACGCGAAAAGACACGCATGAATTAAAAACCTGCGAACAAGATACAGAAGAATTATGAAATATCTACGAGTACTCTTCGTAGATGGCACGAACGTGGAGATGTTTTGAGCGTCACCATGCCGGATGAAAAACGTTTGCATTCCGTCACGGACATCGACAGAATGTTTAACAAGGAGAGTGCGCAAAAGAAAAAACTTTGTTACGCACGAGTATCCAGTGAAAAGCAGAAAGATGACCTTGAAAGGCAGCGCGCATACCTCACTTCTAGATTTCCTGATCATGAGATCGTTACTGACGTCGGGTCTGGTCTCAATTGGAAACGACGAGGATTCGTGTTCATTCTGGAACGAGTGTACGAAGAAATCTCGAGGAAGTTGTGGTTACCCGCAAGGACCGATTATGCCGATTCGCACATGAGCTCGTCGAGTGGAATTTTTTAGAAACACGATGTCAAACTCGTAGTTCTCGCTCGGTTCGGATGTTGAATCAACAGACCCAGACACAGGCGAACTTGCAGAGGATCTACTATCTATCATCACGATGTTCACAGCCAGACACAATGGTCTTAGGGCTGCCGCAAACAAAAAAAGAAGACAAGAGATTGAAGACGCGCAAGATCCGCATGTATCCCAACGATCAAGAAAGAG